TCTCTCTCTCTCTCTCTCTCTCTCTCTCTCTCTCTCTCTGTTATTTTCTCTTTCAAGTTCTCTGTCTTTCTCTTTCTCTTTTTAGTCCATCTATATGTCAGTGCATTTATCTGTTTGTCTACCCATTGCTTGATATTCATTTTAGTACGTTTCACGTTTTTTGGGGGGGTTTAGTTTTGCTCTTTCAATTCATTAGTCTGTCCTTGGATGACTCACTAGTACATTTTAAAAGTTTGCATAGGAGTTTTTTTCAATTTTTACAGACATAGTGGGTGGTTGGTGGGGCACTGATGTGGTTTGCTCTTTCTTTCCTGTCGAACATCTATGGTCCTTAAGTCTCCTCCTTTTTTTTGTGTATGTTACACGCTGACCTTATTGTGTTGCAAGTGCGGTAAAACTCTTATGAAAACTAAAATTAAAGACATATCCGTGGATGGTTGACGGGTGCTCTGTTGTAATTTGCTCCTTTTTTTCCTCTCCACAAATTTTTTTTGTTGTTTTTTTTAACCTTTTTTCCTTTTTTTTCGTGTTTGTTACTCTCTTTTTACATCTCTAGCCCGTTGCACCTATATGACCTAATTGCTGCAAATGCTGTAACACTCTTAGTAAAAACATTTTTAAAGAATGTCCAGAGAAAGGATGTTCCCTCTCTGTGTTTTTCAGTTTGTTTTGGTGGGTTTTTTCGGACTAAGACTTATAATTAGGTTGGGGGGGGGTTTTCTTGTTCTATTTTTGTCTCTCAGGTATCTGCAGCAGAGGATCAGTTTGTGAAGCCACTAGAAAACTTCCGGAAAGAGAACATCGGAGCAGCAAAGGTTGGTTTTCTCTTTGTTCTCTCTTTTTTTTCCTGTTATTCGAAGTATTCTGATCGTGTGGAGTGGACAGATTTTTGCCCTGATATCTCTGCAATTGTGAGTTGCCCCCTTTACTATGATAACTGAGTGGATGGTTTGCGGGTGTTCTAATATGGTTTGCTCCTTTCCTATCAAACATATATTGTCCTTATCTCCCCTCCTTCTTTTTTGTGTTTGTTTCTGTCTTGTAGCACCTCTAATCTTCGGCATTTACATGGCCTTATTGTGTTGCAAGTACCATAATGCGCTTACTAAAAAAATCAGGGTTTTTTTATTTAAAAAAGAGAGAGAAAAAAAAAATTTCCTCCCCTTTTGTGAATTGGAAATCTACTATCTTGTGCCCTGCTAGGTAAAGAACTCAGCTTGATAGAATGTACATTTCAGTACATGTATATGGTGAATATTAACATTCGATTGAAATTGTCCAAGGCGGCCACCCATTGTCAAAGAGAAAAGTGGGTGGTTGGTTGGCGAGTGCTCTGGTATGGTTTGCTTCTTCTTTCCAATCAAACATCTGTCGTCTTTATCTCCCCTCCTTCTTTTTTTGTATTTGTTACTCTCTTGTAACACTTCTAATCTTCGGCAGTTATATGACCTTATTTTTTTGCAAGTGCCGTAAAACATTTACTAAAACAAAAAGGGAAAAATGGTTGTTTTGGACAGGTGACGTCTTGGACAGGGACATTATCATGTTAAAAGAACACAAGGGTGGAACATGGGAAGTTGTCGTTTAATTTGGTCAGGTATCCGTTAAAGCAGGTTCAGCTGTATATCTGTGTTGAGTTTTTGTGGTTTTTTTGCAGGAGGAGAAGAAAAATTTTGACAAGCAGACAGCAAAGTTTTGCCAGTCGCAGGAGAGGTACCTGAATATGAAGACCAAGATTAACGACTCCACTCTGCAAGAGGTTTGTTGTCTTTTGTCAGCTTCCTCCCACAAGGGTCTTTTATAGGTCTGCCCATCATTATGAATTTGGCGGAATCGTTACAATTTATATCCAGTTTCATAAAAATAAATTCATAATACCCCTGATTTAGATTTTTAAAACATTTTTGGCTACCCCAACCCACTGCTAACCTTCCCAATGTAAAAGTGAAGAAAAACTACCAGACCTGGATGGTCAGAACATCACAACAGCATGTGCAGATCTAACTTTAACACCCTTTCTGTATTGAGCCCTTTTTGTCGCTAAGTGCCACTTTGCTAAAAGAAATACATTAGACTTTAGAAGTGGCAAAGCCATTTCACAAATTTTGAAGCCAGATTACTAAATTTATATTTGTTGATTACTAAAATATATGCTAGTGGGTGGGCAGCCCTGCCTTTATCAACTTTTTGGGGTGTCCAGATAGAGCTGCAATTCGAATAAAGACATGATGGGACTTCTTGCAATATAGTTTTTTTCTGTTTTGTTACTTCGGCCCTAGATTGTGCCTGACAGATAACTAACAACCAAGTCATGGTTTTTATTTGGGTGCTCTCCTTTAAAAATATAACTTGAAGAAATGAGGAAGTCACTTCTGGAATAAGGCTAGCGATATGTCTTTCTCTCTCAGGCTGTCGTGCTAAACATATTTTTTTATTTTGTTAATTTTGCTGCCTTCTGTTTCTCTTCTCTTAAAATGAGTGACCTTTGTGGGGCATGCAGATGAACACCTCTTGACGTAAGACATTGCATTAATTTTAAGGTCTACTCTTTTGGCGAGTGTCTGTCTATTTTTTTTGCGGGTGCTCTGATGTGGTTTGCTCTTTTCCTTTCAAACATCTATGGTCTTGACCTCTCCCATTTCTTTGTGTATTACTTTATTAGTTTCTAGATTACCTAAATATTGTTGATAAAGGGCATAAGACACCTACAATTGCATTATTACTACCTTGACTTCATGGACCATTACAGGCAGACACTCAGGTGGAGTTTGAGAAGAAAGCTTTCTACACGTCATCCATGAAGTACGTGCTCAAGCTGCAGGAGGTGCAGGACAAAAAGAAATTTGAGTTTGTGGAAATAGTAAGTCACCTTTGAGGTTTTTTTAAATAGTAAGTTATGATTTGAGTGTGTGGAAATAGTAAGTCATCATTTGAGTTTTTAAAAATGGTAAGTCAAGATTTGAGTTTGTGGAAATAGTAAGTCAAGATTTGAGTTTGTGGAAATAGTAAGTCGTGATTTGAGTTTTTTTGAAATAGTAAGTCGTGATTTGAGTTTTTTTGAAATAGTAAGTCGTGATTTGAGTTTTTTTGAAATAGTAAGTCAAGATTTGAGTTTGTGGAAATAGTAAGTCAAGATTTGAGTTTATGGAAATAGTATGTCATGATTTTAGTTGGTTGAAATAATAAGTCTAGATTTTAGTTTGTGCGAATAGTAAGTGTCTCATGTGAAGAGACATCCTAGAGCAGAGGCTGAAGTAGTGGATGGTTGGAGGGCACATCTGGCCCCTGGGTAATTTGAGTTTGAGTCCCCAGCTGTACGTTGTTATTGTTTATTTCCCTGCCAGCTGCTGAGTTACATGCTGGGCTGGCTGACCTTCTACCACCAGGGCTACGTGGACCTGGAAGACTTTCGCAACTATGACCACGAGCTCAGGCAACTGCTACAGAAGGTGAGCACTGTCTTTTCTCATTCTCACTCAGTTCGTTTGATGGATGATGATTTTTCCTAATCATAAGAGCCTCTCAACAAAACTATGTGAAAAACAAAATGAGACTTGCTTTTTTGCAGACTTATTTTTGTATTTTTTGTAAATAAGCTAGTTTAATACTGTAACCGTTTTAATATTCATGAGGTTCATAGAGACTTGTTGTAACAGGCAAGAACATGAGTTCAATTTTTGAAATATCCTTTCATGTTTTAGTGTTCATTACTCTGTTGTCTTTTAACACTGTGAGGAGTTATTTTAATACTTTTGTTTTGTCTTGGGATGTGTGTTTTAATGTTTCAGAAGAGAGGTTGTAGCAACATTTTTTTTCTTCTTTCCATAGACGAGAGAAAATTTCGAGTGCACAAGGGATGAAGCCCAGATTCTGATGAGCAAAATGCTTAATGAGAACAAAGGCTTGGTGAGTCAATTTTGCCATCTTTCATTTTGCATAACGGGACCCCAGTGCTTTCTTGTCGTATTTCCATTTTTATAAAAGTGAAAACAGTTCATAACAAAGAGTGAGCTTCAGAAAATGTCACATTTTCACTGTTAAAAAAATGGATATTCGACAAGAAAGCACTGAGGTAGTGATAAGTGTTTTTGGCCAAACTTTGCTTTTTTTCTATGAAAAGAAAAAGGTTTGTTATCCACTGTATATCTTCTTCTGGCAAAACTCATAATGGTTTTGCTCATTTTTCTAATTTTGTATTTTATACCAGCACCTTAATTCATTAGAGTTCTGGTGGTTTGGTTTTTCTTTGCACCCAAAGAAATGAAAAGGTACAAAAACTTAACTTTGAATCGCAGTTAGTCTTTTACTAATATTTTCATGGTTTTGGGGATTATTACACATTAATGGCTGTCTGTATAATGTAATGTCTCCTTTGCATGGCTACAAGAGACAGGCTGGCACTATGTTTTGAGGAACTAACACAATGTTATTTCTTGTGTCCTGTACTTTCGTTCGATGATTATACTGGTATGCATCTGCCTTTGTGCTTGCTATAGAAATTAGATTTTCGTTCATTTTTTTTGCACCCGCTGACAATAAAGCCTTTATTCAGTGAAAGAGAAAACTGCCAAATTATTCCTGAAGTAAAATTTCTATTTTCCTTTTGCTTATCACTCTCGTTTCCGGTTTAAAAAGTGTTTTCTTTTCTCTCTCCAAAACTGCTTAGGCTATGTATATTTTGATATGGCCCAGAAATGTATTTTCATGGGGCCACAATGTCAGTCTCACTTTCAGCCATCATTGCCTTTTTTTTAAAAGAGGTTTTAAATTGTTAGGTCCTTTTTCTTAAAAAAACAGGAATGAGGATGCTATGAACCATAGTGCAGTCCGCTTAAACCGAAAACAGCGGAAACAAAAAATGGAATCCCCATTTTTTTCTCTGGGCTATATGAAAAACCTCCACACACTGTAAACACGGCTTAACCCCAAAAAATCTGGCGGTCCTGCAGATTTCAGTTTAAGCGGACTACTTTGTGTTTCTATTACTGCTTTTATTAACAATGCAATTCCCCTTGTAGATACTCAAGTGAAGTGTATATTGTCGGTGCCTGACGCTAATCCTGTAGCCAAATGAGGTCCAGTACTTTCTCTTCACAAATTGTCTTATTCAAAACCAGTTAGTGGTACCAAATTAAGAAAAAAAAATGTTACGCAAAATTTACAACAATTATGGAAGATAATAAAGAAATACTTTTTTTGCCTCACTAAAAGGAGTGTTTGGACCTAATTTGACAGATACACTATTAGAGTTGGACACCGACAATATGCAATTAACTATTCTTTATTCACCTGACATTCATGCGTCAGATCCTCTCATAGACGCTCAGTTGGAATGTACATACATGTAGATGCAATAAACTATTTCTTTTTCTACTGATATTAATGCGCCAAATCCTCTGCTTTTCATGCATGCTCATGACGCAGCTCCATGCAGCACAGTGGGTAAGAACTGGATGTTGTGAGCACCTCTAATCCGCTAGGGCCCCCCACTCGTTTTTTGTTACCTCGAGCTTCTCTCTTTGCTGCAGATTTATTGTCTGGCAGTGCTCACGTCTGGGTAGTTATCGCCAAAAGCGAGGGTGGCTGGTGGGCGCTGTAGCGTGGTTTGCTTCTTCTTTGGCTTCTCTTTTTGTCTTAGTATCTGGCAAAGTTTTGGCGTTCCATGACTTCTCAGCTTGTCAGCTAATTTTATTACAGCTACTTGCTGTTGCCCGGTGACAGGGTATCTATATTGGAGGATATAGCTGTCAGGTTCTAATTCTATTCTTTCCCTTTATTTCTGGCTGTTTGTCTTTCTTTTTGCCATGTTATCATACAGGTTTGCTTTTTTTCCTAAAAGAAACTAGATTTATTTCCTTTTTAATAGTACGATTTTTACCCTCTCATTGACACCAATCCAGACTGAAAGGTACACAACATCCCAGCAAGAAGACCAAGATACTCATTGAAAATTCTCCCTACATGGGTATCGAACTCTGGTTCTCCTGCTTGCGACTGTGAAGTGCTAACCACTACACCACAACACACACATGCACGCACACATACACACATGATTAGTGGTAGAGAAAGCAGAAGCAATAAAGTTGACACAGTGGTAAATGGAATTAAGTGGGAATTTCAAGAGTATATCTGGTGGATGCTATGTATTCATGATAGTTGCTCGTGGACAAGTCGTTAGCGTCATTCCATAAACACTAAGTCATTTTTCACAATTTTGAGAAAAGGTGTGCACTCAAATCAGAACCTTGTCTTGGGCACCCATTAATTGTCCTTTAAGGGGAGGAGCGACCCTTGATTTTGCAGATTTTAGGTCAGGCTACGCAAATTGAGATGTTGACTGATTTTTGAAGATCAACTAGTTTTCTGTCTAAAAATAGCATGGAGAAAATTGAGAAAGTCTTTATTCTCCTCGTAAATTGCCTTTGAAAACATGAGGGTGGGTTAATATAGTGAATTTTCACAATAATTGTCATTTTTCGCAAAACGTCTTTTTTTTTTGGTGCAGTTTTTCCCTACTCCTTACTTAGTTTTCATCCTTTTAACTTGAAACTTTCATGAAACACAGATGGCAAGGCTGCCATCAATGTAACAGAGAGATATTTGCGAAAAAAGTAACACTTTTCCATTGGCATGCGATTACGCAACCTAAATTTAGAAACGGTTTTTTTTACTTTGGGAAAATTTTCTTTTTTTTTTCTTTGCACTTATTGTAAAAACTGGCTGTTACGCTGATAGGGTCTGGTTCAGGTATACTCTCACCAAATTTGGTCTGTAAATAAGAAAGCCTTAGGGATTTGAAATTCATTGTTTACTTTCAAGATGGCGGCCATTTCCACCAAAATAAAATTGCATATCAAGAGATTTTATTATGCCTAACTTATATGTGTACTTACATTTGATCTTGGGCAACAAATATAGAAAATGGTCCTCAAGGGTAGCTCTTCCCGTTAAAAGCTTGGAAGAAAATGATATCGTAAGATGCCCTTTGATGTCTTTATTTGAATAACAGCATTATCTGGGGGGGGGGCAGAAATTAGAAATTGGTTTGTGTAATTTTTGAATAACGCTGACAATATCCTGTTTTAGCGCCATATAACTGTTTTGTCTGTAGAGTTTAATCTTCAACCCTGAAAAACTCTACATCGGCCCCTGTTGTCAAACAGTTAGGCAGTTGCACATTAAAGAAGTTGGTTCCCGTTCTGCACGGGTTAGCCTATTTCATCAAGTATCCCTGCTGGAATATTGCATCTCACTGTGATGGGGATTGGCCGTGATGTGCAGTGTTGAAGTTGCCTTCCTCACATCATAGATGTCAGACTCTGTAACCTTGTATGTGCATGAACATTGTTTTTCAGAAAATTGGGGGGTCTTTTTTTACATTTTTATTATCTACCAGAATTTCTCAAAAGTTGTACAGATTGTTACTTTTACATATTATAGTATCATCAATTGTAATAACAGTTGTGAATAAGATCATTTCAAGCAAAAATGTGATTGCTCCAATGCGATGGAAACACTGGTAGTGTCAGACATTAACAATAAATGGTCTAAACTGTGTTGCCTGGGTGGTCAAACATTTACAATAATTTAAAATCAAGAAAATCTCTCAGGTCTCAGTAAATCCCCAGGTATCGTTGTTTTCTTGTTATTTCTTCCCGCCATTTTTCTTTTTCATTCTCCTCTGATGCTAAATGATCCTCATGACGTCCTCTTGTTACAGCTGGTAGGTAGTCTTGTGAGTGCAGGAGAGTGGGATTTGAAGAGACCTCTAACCCAGCTTTGATCTAAAACAATTACTGCAATGTGGAGTGTGTTTTTTGTTTGTTTGTTTGTTTGTTGTTGTTGTTTGGGGGGGGGGGGGTTTAAGGGTTTTTTTGTCTCTCAACTGTTGTGGTGCACAGAATGATTACAAATGCGTGTCAAGGTTACACTTGAGTGCTTTTTTTTTTCCAATTATTTACATTGTACGTCTGTCTATGGTTTGAGGAAGAGAAAAAAATTAGGTCGAGGTTTTGACTTGCACTTTGAGTCAGAGTGCTGTTTGAATGTTTTAAGATCTTGAAGGAAGGCAAACCAGACCAGCTGATCTGTCCAGTCCAGAGTGAATTGTCTTTGTTGTTTTGGATAGTATACTTCGGACCATACAGTAAATTAAAGCTACGAAATGTTGTAGCAGCCCGTCTCCTTAATCATCTAATTGTGTTGATGGAGGTGTAAAAGATCTACCATCATTATACTCTTACCCAATGATTCAGTATCTCTCTTTGTGCAAGTAAGCAGTTTTAGCGGTCTGGCTTACATACTTTGTTGTTCTTCGATATCCTCATAGATTCACATGTTAACCATGTCTCTTTGTCATGGTGATGGATGACCTTTGCTGACCTTTTCTAACATTTGGGATGAAGTGGATTGACTGCTGTAATAGTTGCCTGTACCACACATATTTTTTTATTCTCAGAATCAATAGCAATGGCTTCCTCTACACAACAACAGCCCCACCCCACCCCACCCCACCCCACCCTGAACCATTGTCAGGCTTACAAGTATATTTTATCATGCATTGTGAAAACTGCCCTTTTGCTTATACTTATGGTATCTTAGTTTTGAAGATGATGTATTTAGTAATATGTAGCTTTATAAACCCACCTCAAAAGACGGTCAGGGTCAGTACATATATATTTTTTTTATAGTTTTGCTTACTCTGATGTATTTTTGAGGAAAAGCTGGTAGAAAGACCTTTGCCTGAAATTAATGGCTCAGGTAGGATCTAACTCTGCTTTGCTCCCTGGACGCTGATTTCAGTATAACGTCTCAGTTGGTTTTTAGTGCCATTGATGTCGTATATATATGTGTAACCAACTCAACCCTGTGGATATTGGAAAAATTTAAGCTTTTATACATTGGTCATTGTAATATGTTCAGCAAGTGATCATGCTCTTGTTCAGATTTGACAACTAAGATTTTGAGTCTGTTTAATACAGTTTTCTTGTGTATGTTAAAAATTTATATTAATACTATTCTAGGATGTATGGGGGCCAGTCATAGGCTAGAGTTGTTTTTTTTTAAATACCCAATATGAACAAAGAATTTTCTGGCTGATGAGAAAGGATAGTTTCAGCCCTTTGAAAGTTTTTGCTGAAATGTAGGACTCTTTGTTGTTTTTTGTGTGGACAAAATGCAAAGACAGCTGCTAAATCAAGACGTTAGTATTGTTTTGTCAGGTCCCTTCCATCCAAGCTAAGATTTTACATTACAATTTTTTTTTAATGTGTTAGTTAACAAACAGCGCATACTTTCTCTAATAGATCTTGTACTGAGTGGTGTGATGTTCATATTAAATTGTCATTGTGCCATTGGTATCGGAAACTGATTTAAAATTAAGTTTTCCACTTGCCGTGTGCAGTGACACTGTTGTATTTCATATTTTTGTTGTTGTTTTTTCACAGAAACCTTTGGATCAGTCCGGCACTCTCAAGGGCTTTGCAAGGCAGGGATACCTCTACCTGATGGAAAAAAGTCAGTTGATTTTGTAGATGTTTTTTTTGTTGTTGAGAAATAGAAAAATTAAGCCAGTGTTAGAAGAATGGTTACTCCAAATATGAATCATCATTTTTTTATACATCCTCCTCTACTTTCGGATCTGCTATCCCATCTTTTCTTTGGTTGAAAATCAAAGGAGTTTAGTATCAAGCCCCCCTCCCCCCCCCCCCTCCTCTTCTTATACTTATTGGTGAAAGTTAGTAAAGAAGCTGGCAGCAGTAGTAAACACATTTTTAAAAAAAAGACAGGTTCACATGTTTAATGTGTTAGGGTCATAATGTACCATGACTCATTCATAAATGTAAGTTTGAAACAACTGAGGTGTTACAGAGAGACAAAAAGCTCAAAAATAGAATTCCCATCATCTTGTATCTTCTTCTTTGGCTGTCCATCAACATGTAGATTGCCTAATTACAACTTCCTTCTCTTCACATCTTGACTTCCTTGATATGCTCCAAAAGAGAGACATAGTACGGTTGGAATCAAGGACCATGTAACAGTTGGATATATACACCTATCAGTTCTTTCAGTCTAACTTTTGTGTTCCTTACGCTGTATTACAGAGGCTCTGGGCACCACGTCCTGGACCAAGTATTACTGTCAGTACAAGAAAGAAACCAAAGAATTCTACATGATCCTTTACAACCAGATGGGAGGGAAAATGGTGAGAGAGTTTAGTCAGATGCCTGTCCTTGTGTTTTGGTCAACACTTCTCTGCCTCAAAATGTTTTTTATGACAGATATCTTACATAATACCAATGAGGCAAAACAAAAAAATAGAGGACTCTTCATCAGCAAACTGTTCACCTGTTCCAGGCCAAGAAAGCAAAATTGTTGTGGAAAGTGAAAAAAAAAATGTTCCTCCTTTTGAATTCTTTTTTTTAAATTAAATTAAAAATTATTATTTTTTTTTTTAAAGTAAGGTTTTATGGTGCTCGCAACTGCATAAGGTCATATCCTATCCCTTTTTCAACGTTTAGAATTTGATTTTTTGACAAAATATTGCTCAAGCATATGCATCCGATATCACAGATATAACTGCAGTTTAAAAATTGTGAAAAGTTTGGGCTTAGTACATCTGAACAGCTGGCCCAGAGTTTGTTTCTTATTACAAAACAGTAACTTTTGTTATGGCATGTACATGTTATATTTGTAACATCTCGTATCTTGTATGATATACATTCTTTTTGAATCAGGGATTAGGTGATGTTGGTGTTGGTGGAAGATGTAGGTTTGATTGATGTGTATTTTTGGTGAACTATTGACAGAGGCAGGTTTCAGAGTGGTTTCTTTATTGCATTTGAATAATTAAATGATTTAGAAGTATTCCTAAGAGCACGGTAAAGATACTTCTTTTTATCTTGCTTTTTCAGAATGTTCAATTTTGCTTGAGACTGAATTTGTTCAGCTGATACTGTATTCATGACTTTATACATTTCTTTATTTGTCTCCACAGAATGAACCAGAACGTTATGTCCTTGACAACTGTGTACGGTAAGTCAAAATATTGCTCTCAAATGTCTTCTCCCATCCCCATCCCATGCTTTGTTTTAACACAATGCTCCCAGACAGACAGACACACTCCCATCCCCTACCTCCTATGAAGTGGAATCATAAGAGATTTATAACTGGCATTTGTGTTGCAGCAGTCAGGTGCTTTGTTGTATCAGGCAGAGGACCTAAGTTTGATTCTCATGTTTGGAAAATGTTTATGACATTCATCAGTATGGTCAAAGCCTGCTTAAAAAATGATCTAAATTGTTTTGATGTATGCATAAAACACTTACATTTGCTTTTTAGCATACATTTCCAAGTTATTTATGTAGTGGTCTTACATTTTCCAATGTAGCCTTCTTTAGGATTGTTTGTCATTAGTGCCCTTATGAAAAGGTTGCTTTCTATTCCTAAAAAATTATTTGTTTTTGCTTTTTGTTTTACTCTGTTGCAGGCGTGCCTCAGACACTATAGAAAAGAGATTTTGCTTTGATGTGACAGTAAAAGAAAAGTAAGTAACGTGGCTGCTGAGACATATGGGCAATTTTTTTGTTTGTCGTGTTGTGTGTCTGTGAGAGTCTTTGGGTGTATGATGCGTGTTCATAGATAGTCATGACTGTTTCCCATGTGTGATTTGTAACTCTTGAGTAACCCTACACAGCATGGTTTGATGTGCAATAAAATGCCTTCTGCTTTTTGTTGTCAGGTTAAGTATGTGCTGAGCACATCGTACGGCAATACGGGCAGAGCACATTGTTGTTGCACTTTTGGGGGGGGGGGGGGGGGGTTATGCCTTTGCATGTCCCATGGGCAGGATAGTTTTTTCATAAGGTGGAGGCTTTCTTAACTATGATGATTTGTTTTTCAAGTTTACATTTTGCAGATTCTTGTCTCTAAGAAAACATTTGTTCTTAATTCCTGATGTGATTAATATTTTTTTTAGACATTCCACCTCTTTCTCAGTCCTCTACTTTTGCCCTCCAGGAGTGGATGTTCGGAGGCAACTCCTGTTAGGTCCTTGTTCTTTTCTGTGCCTCTTTTGTTTCTGTCTGTCTGTCTTGTTTCTTCCCAGCCTAATCAAAGCTTTTTATGTCGATGTGCTTCTTTAGAACTCATCTCTTTTAATTTTGTTAGCTTTTTGCTTTTGACGCAATAGAAAATTTTATTTTTGCCACGTCAATGCTTTATTGTCATAATTTTTAACTCGTCAAGGACTCACATTCTGGTCATTTGGCAACCCTTGAAGATTTTTTTGTTTGAGGGCACTTTGTAATTTATGGTGATTTTTCTATCTTGTTTACCTTATCTGAAACCTGAAAGGACAGACTACATATGAAATATGCAAATTTGTGTGTCTGATTTGTGTATGATGGTTCTAAATGTGTCACAATATTGCCTTTCATCTGTTGATGATCAGACATATGTATCGGTTGTGGTGTATTAGACTTAAAGGTGCTAGACAGGCATTCTCATTTATTTCTTAATTGTTCCTTTTGTTTTCTTTTCTCCATAAATCCTTTTACATTATTTGTCTGCTTGATACAGTATACATTCTCAGACCAAAGATAGTTTTCATTATCTTCCAGCACTTTTCTTTAATGGACTGAAACATTTCTAATTTTTTTGGGGGGAACGTTTAATGCTCTGCTGGGATGTTTGCTGAGCTCATTTATAAAGGCATATTATGTTTTTGGTAATTCAGTTTTGAATGAAGAGATGTAATCTTATTTCACTTTTGTATAGTTCTGAGAACTGTTCATCTCTGGAGGGCACCACTAGAAGGTTCTTCGTCTTTTCTTTCTCTCAGTTATCTCCTCCATTTATTTGTCTGAGTCTGTCTCGTTTCCTTGCTCAAGATGATTGTTATTGTGTCAGTATCACGAGCTTTGTGCTCGCCTTACTGATTGTTGATAATAGTGTGACGTGTGTTAACACTAGTTCCACCCTGAAGTAATCTAAATCATGATGCAAGCTCACACCTTTTGTTGAAATGGTTTCAGAACTCAAAACCCTCATCAAAGACCACGGTGAAGTTTTTTTTTTGGTTTTTCTTTTTGGTTTTCTTTTTCTTGACATTTTTGTGTGTTTAGGAAAACTGATATTTTAGTGTCCCACACTGTCTGTTCACTTTAGTCTTTTCTGTGCTATGATGACATCGAGATTTGTGGATTTAATTTATCATGAGTAGCTTTAAGCCTTTTGCACATGTGATTTTGCAAATAGGGAAAATGTAATTGACAGGCTGGCAGCAGAAATGTCTTTGTGAACTTCCGTAGACTTCCATTGCATCAGAGGGTTTGCTAGATATTTGAGGGACTTGGAATGGGGGTTGTGGGGGGGTGACTATTTTTTGTCTGTCATAAGGAGTTTACGCTGGTTGGCTGACTTATCTTAGCTCCCCTCCTCCTCCTCCACCTCCTTTCCTCATCCTCCACCTCCCTTACCCATCTATTTATTTTCCTTCTTTTTATCTTAGCTTCGCCTTTCAATACTTCTCTTTCTCCCCGCTTTCCTAACCTGTTGTCTACTCCTTACCCATCCCATGCCCCTTTTCTCTTTGCTTTTACTATAAGTGCCTAATTCATGCCTCTGATATATTTCCCTTATTTTGTTTATGCTGTTGCTTTCTATTATTTAGCTACTTTTATGATATTTGTGACTGTCATTGTGGGTGGTTGATTTCTTTAACCTAATTCATTGAGCTCTACTTGCGCCATTCTCAGTCTTGCTGACTTATGGGGTACTTTTACCGTCTTGCTTACAATTTGTTATTTTTACATCTTGTAATATTTAGTTGACTCTCCTGCTTATGTTTACTACCAAAGTACTCACTACTGTCCTGATCAGGTTATATATGTAGGCGCTTTCATGACTGTTCAGTGTGATTTATCTGGGTGACACTTACAAATACCCGTCTTACTATAGTCAGCCATACTTTTTCTATCTGATCAATCTGTTATTTCAAATGACCAGTATTGTGTAGATGGGCTTTGTATTAACTCAAACAACACGTGTCCTGCACACTGTTCATCGTGTCCTGCACACTGTTCATCCCATGGGTCTCGAGTTAGGCCAAGCAAGTACATAAATAATGCCTTATGTTATAGAGAGCTAACACAAGCTGGCAAACACTATTAATATTTCTCACATTATAATAATAATAATGATAATAATATAATAGCATTTGGTTAATGAAAATTCACACTCAACAGCAAGCTCTATGCGCTTAACCATTATATCATTACCCCAGCAGACCTGATAGCATTCTAGAGCAATCTCAACTTCCTGGGAAGCATACAGTTCAAGCTGCCATTTTATAGGTGCTAAAACACTAACAAACTGACAAGATCTTTTGCTGTCTCTGGCGGGTACCCATTCTCAAGTGGGTGAAATGAGGAAAATTCCTGTTAAGTGCCTTTCCCAAGGACATAACGTCGGGTCTGAGCCTTGAGCCCTGAAGTGACAACCTCAAGCTTACGAGTCTGGTACCCCAACCACTAGATTACCTACACCACATTGTCTCACTAGCGCTCATAGAGAATGTGCAAGGCACTTTGAAGAATATCAATTAATAAAGCTTGTTCATTTGTGCTAACCTCTCATAGCACATAATGCTATTTTTGTCCTTGGCCTACAGCTTATTTCCTATGTATAGATGTAGAGACGATTCCCATGCTTCACTGAGCTTACAATAACTTGAACTCCAATGAGCTTTGCTCTCCACTTACAATTATGACCAGTGGTTACTGACCTGTCAGCGTTGACTGCTTTTCTCTTCTCAGCTCACCCCATAATGTGGCTGAGGTGTTCTTCTTTACATTACTCCTGCTTGCCAGAGTAACACACCGTGCACACACTGTCAATCAGATTCTACCGGCTGAGACAGATTTTCTTCATGGAAGGGCAAAGTTGCAGTTTGGGCACAATATGACAATTTTGATGAATGACCTTGTAAAACAAATGCGTTTGATTTGAAGGTCTCAGTCAAATTTAGCTGAATTCTTGAATTGTGCATCAAATGATAGCATTTGCCCCAATCCACGAGTGAAAGTCTGGCTGGCCCGGACTCAAATTAAATGAATGGCCAGCACACTCAGTGTAAGCCTTGACACTGTTTTGTGCTTCCAGTGATCCAGTGAGTTAACAAGTAATTACATTCCTAAAAGCGTGCTACTACTTCTACTACAATAGTGACCAGTGGTTACCAACTGCCCAGCATTGACAGGTGGTCACTTCCCAGCTAACCCCGTCATGTGAAGTGTTCCCTTTTTACAATGTGTATCCTCCTGCTTGCCTGAATAAAAATATACAGTTTTTTCCTCGCCCCGCATATTTCAACTTTTTCCTACTTTTAGGACAGAGGATTCCTGGCACACACACGGGGATGGAACCAGAACTTTCCCCTCCAGTGTGTTAAAATCGCCTGCCCGCCAAAAAAACTCGAAAGAGAGGTCAAGTTGCTTTTTGCCTGCCATACTTACAACATTGCCCGCTGGCTTTTTATATTTTTTGACATTTTTTCAGTTCTGCTGCTTCATGAATTCTTTTGCCCTCAAAGTCCATTGAACCCTTTAGTAATGGTGTTCAGATAGAATTTTGTTTGGTTCCCACTTCAATTAATAGTTTATTGTTTCCAATGAAAATGTTTGCTCAAACTCAATTGAACACTGTAATATTGAAGTTGAGTGAGGTTATATAATAAAGTTCCCTTTTATTTCATAGTTCATGCTTTCAATTCAAAACATTTTCTCAAATTCCAGTAAGCCCAAATGTCATACAATTGCTTTAGGTAGTGTAAAGGATCCCCTCTATAAAGTAGTTTATGCTTTCAAATAAAGCGTTTGCACAATGTTTCCGGAACCCTTTAATTGTGAAGTAGCTTCAGGTTGTTGAAGGTCCCCAATTACTTAATAGTTTATTGTTTCAAGTAAAATGTTGGGTTTGTATTACATGTATATACGATTCACATGTGGCTGTTGCCTTCTTATTTGATGTCCCTTTGTCCTATCAGTCAAGTTGACTTAATGGCTACACTACTTACATTCTAATTTTTTAACAATGAATTTGCTGCATCATGCGTGGTCATTAATTCTCTCTTGTCTCATTTGCTTTTCCCAGACTCTTAGTTAGCATAAATCAGCAGGTATAAATTTGAGTCACTGGTCTTATATTTAGAAAACATTTAAACATTCAGTGACTAAAGAAATGGAAATAGAAAAAGTTTTGTCATATTAGATAATTTGTTCAAGAATGGGGGGGGGGGGGATTGTTGCGTCTTCATTTTGTTCTTGCGAGCAGCACTTACGTACGCATGTCAGGGGTTCTTTTTTCGCAATGTTCTTACATTTTAAAACATTTTTCTTACTTGATATTCTTTTCCCCATCTATCATTAGTTCTGGTTTCACCACTGTCAATTCTGTCATTGATTCTGCTCTCATCACTGTCACTTTGATTTATTGATATCATTAACTGTCATGGTCATCAGCTGTTTCATGTGTTCTGTATTGGCAGGCTTGCCAACCATCCTGAATTTCCCAGGACTGTCCTGGATTATTCTGTGGGGAATTTCAAAGCCTTATCACTTACACAACACTAAAACCAGTCACATTTGATGTGATTTTTTTCATTGTTACGAAATCTTGATATTAGAACCTTGGGTGTCCCTGATAGGACTTTGAAGAAGTTTGCAAGCCTGTGTTGTGCATTATTTTTAATCTGTTAAGATTACTTAATCAGTTTCTTTAAGTAGGAAGTTTGACACTCTCAGAGTTGCTTTGAAATCAGTTTTACAGTATTTTCAAGTTTTGTATGAACCTGTTTCTCTTTTTTTTTAAGAAGTCAAAAGCATACTGTTGATTTTTTTCAAGGAAAGACCAGTAGCGTGTATCTTATCCTATCCTATCCTATCCTTTCCTATCTTATCTTATCTTATCTTATGTAATACCAACTCATGATGAGCGTTCCTGAAGAGCATATATATTGTCAGCAAGCTGGTTGATCAACTGCTTCTAGCGCAGAAAGCAAAAACTTTCAGGAGAGAGAAAAAAACTGTTTCAATTCTTTTGCAAATTGTACTTGCATTATGTATCATTTCTTAGTCCCCCCCCCCCCAAATATTTAAGAACTTGAATTTCAACCAAATGTTTCATGAGTATGTGCAAACAATACCAGAGGTTAAGAAGCTGCAATAATAAAGGATGACATAACATTTTCTTCGAGCCCAAAGATGTATGGACTCATGACTTTGAAGCTCATCAGTGGCCTTCCATTGTCGAGGAGAAGAGTTGTAATCATAGACAGATGGGCATCCTGGACAGTGTCATTATAATAAAAAAGATATGGAAGGGGCGAAAAAGGGAAGTGTTTTTTTGTGAATGTGATTGTCTTGGACAAATGGCTGTTAGAGCAGGCTTGACCGTAGTAGTAAAACCAGTTGTTTTTTTTGGAGCTCTCAAATTTCATGTACGTAGTGTGGGGAACGAATGGATCCTGCCCTCTTACTTCCCCACTTTTCCCAAATCCTCTGGTGGTTGTGGTTAGTTTCCCAATTGCAGATTGAACATAGTTGTCTGGACGTGGTTGTTTGGATGTTTCTTTGGCAGTAGTCTGTATGTAATGATAATAATTATTATTATTATTATTATTATTTATTATTATTATTATTATAATGAATAGCATTTGAGTAGCAAAAGTTCCGACTCAACAGCGGGTGGTTAGAGGATGCTGCTAGCAGGTCCTACTTCTTTTCTTTCCATCTATTATTTTTGTCTATCTATCTTACTTTTGCCCCGCACTGATTGACCGTTATTCCCTTCTCTTTACTCGAACAAACAAATAAAGCAGCAGCAGTCTCTTTGTGCATCACAGGCTATCTATTGGTAAAGGGAAGCTGAATGGTCTTGGGGGCATTTGGCTGATCATTGTTTTGTCCTTTCACATCAAGAGAACTAAAGTTGCGAGGCTGAAGGCTGGGTTTGTTTGTTTTGTTTGTTTTGGGGGGGGTCTATTAAATACTTACTTACAGTGAATGTGTGAGGGTTAGATTGTCTGGCACGTAGCATGATCATGATGTGTTTCCTTTAATCTTTTCCATTTTATTCAAACTCTCCTCTTTCCTTTCTCTCTTGACCATTTTCACTCTGTTTCTTTAATAAAATGTATTTTTCTTCTTCTTTACTGTTCTTTACTGAGCCATGCATCTGTGTATTTTCATAGTCTGGAGAGCACTGAAGTTTTGTTCCTTCTGTCTTTAACTTAATTATTCCTCTGTCCTCTGACTTTGGTCTTTTTTGTGCTGTTTCTTTTAGCGATTAATTCTTCTTCATCTTTCCTGGACCGTGCATCTTTACGTGTGCATTTTTTTAGATGCTTGGAGAAGCAATACAGTTTTACTCCTTTTATCTCTTACTTATTTTTCAGAATCTGTTCTTATCTATGACATTGGCTTTTTTAATCTGATGCTTTCTTCTTTTTCTACCACTGTTTGTGGTGTAGCAGTTAGGCTCTTTGCCATTGCATAAAGGGAACCCAAGTTTGATTCCAGAGTGGGGGGGGGGGATTCATTTAGTATCTTGGTCTTTCTGCTGTGATGCTGCATTTCTCTCTGCCTAGGTTGTCACTGACAGGCAGGGTTTAAACCCGCCACTTGAATTATCTAAATTGCAACGGTGGGGTTGTGAAAACACATACATTTGAAGAAATGAGAATGTCCTACTTCCTCTTACCTTTGCGTTTTTTCATGTTTCTGTTTCCGATGGATTCTTCTTCTTCTACCTGGGTTTGCAGATGGTTGGGAGAGCATTAGGATTTTTTTGTTTGCGTTTTTAAAAATTCCCTTGCATACAGTAGTAGCTTTTTTCTGTTCTCCTTCGGGATCAGCGTGTGGTTGGAGAAAGTCATTGGTAGTTCCAACTTCTTTTCTCTCCCTCTGTTGTATCTGGGTGTCTTACTTGAAACGGAAAACTAAAAAAAATGGTGTGGTCATGAGCTGGCACAGCCATACAGAGAGCCTATGTCTCAAACCTGAAACCCTTCAGCTTCTACCCTAGCTTTCTAACACCTCCACACACCCTGATTTACAGCTGTGTAGAAATGACATAAGATTGTTTCTAAACTATCAAATCAAGGGGTGTTTTTTGTCTCACTAGATTGTAAGAATATTTTCTTTAGTAGCAGATGTGAGGTTTGTGTTAAACATCTGCTGTGCGGTGGTAAAGTGCTTCGCTGTCTTATGCTGAAGTCCAAAGTTTGATTCCTGAGTGGGCAGAATTGCTATCGAGTATCTTGGGTCTTTCTGCTGTCTCTCAGCCCAAGTTGGTTCCAACAGGCAGGGTTGAAGCACACCTCCTAAATAATCTAAATTGTAATGGAGAGTAAAAAACAACAATTAAAATTACAAAGCATTGCTTTCTTGTTCTGATTAGTACGCAGTGTTCATTTGGTGATGAAAGATAACAATTTCTGTGTGAATTACTTTCTAATTTAATTTGGTCAGTACTTATTTCAGGTTATGTTTGGATAAGTTTGATTTTTGTTCTATGGATTGGTGCCTAGCAGATAAATCTTTTTGTACATGTGTGCATCCATATATCACATATAGACGTTTCACTGTTGATGTTCTGAATGCAGTTTTTCTATGACAGCTGTTTTTCAAGCCTTGAGGATTCTCACTCACAAAATTATTGAAGACTGTCAGGAAAATTTGGTGTGATTGTTTGGGGGCACAGTTTTATTGCCAGGTCCCCACTTCTTTCCTCTCTTTCTTCTGTTTTAGTCTTTTCTCTTGACTGTAAGGAGTGTTCCTTGTACTCTTATTTGTCATCACTGTGTTGATTTACTTCTTCTTAAACTGTAACAGACAAGCAAAGAAATATAGTTGTGTTGAAAACAATGGGGCGAGGGGGGTGTGGAGACATTTGCTCTTAAGGGTTTCATCACAGTAACTAGAAAATTAATGACTCCATTGACTTCTTCTCACTCTGTAAAGCCTGGGAAAATTGATTTTATTCTCTATTTTCTTGCGACAGTGATGATTTACTTCCATTTGATCACCTTTTGCAGATTTTGTACAAATAAAAACAAATTTCTGAGCAGTGCTTTTCTTTCAGGTGATTGTCAGTTATTTCTGCAAGTGTTTTGTCTCACAGAATTCTTTTTCTAGAATGTTCTTGCTGAAATAAGTGAACTTAACTGATATTATGATGTTGTCAGTTGGAAATGAAAGTCTGGATATTCCCTGAAAATGTCTAAGAATAAGAACTTTCTTACCAACCTCAAAGAAAAAGAATGAACAACAGGTTCCTTAAAAATCAAAGACTTTTTTTTTTGGTGCAGCGTGCTTTGCTGTGGCAAGAACAATGAGCCACTCTAAAACTTTTTCTCTCCTTGTAAATCAAGGTCAAATGGAGTAAAAAGCTGGTCTTGGCAAAGCGACAATTTGGTTTTTCTTGAATTTCAAATGACATCTCATGTACACTATGTTCACAGATCAGGGCCCATGACATTCCAAGCTCTTTCAGATGATGATAGGAAACTATGGCTGGATGCCATGGATGGCAAGGAGCCGGTAAGAATTTGGAGAGAAACTGTTGGAGTTAACACATGAAGAGCAATAAACTCAATGATTTAGACCAGTGCTTGTCAACCTTTGTATGCCAGCACCCACTTTTGTTTCCTGTAGGAGGCGAAAATTTTCATACCATCCACCTACATGTATTTCCAAACCAAGCATTAAATAACACCTGTCACTACCTGGATGATTCATTCTTCCCTCCAAAATGACTAAATTGCCCATACTGACCAGGTTGGCGAGCACATATTTAGGCTGTATGACTTTTCATTATGTTGCAGTTTTGCCTTTAGAATGAATTTAGATGTCATTGAATTCATTTCTTGGGGGTACTTTTATCTGTGTTTAACTTATAAATTGTCATTCTATTTATGAACAGTTTGAAGGTGTCACTCTTTAGTTCTGTAATTGTGAAGGTGCTTTTTTCATCAAATTCTGTTATAAAGTATTTTATATTTCTTATAGTCTGAGAAAGAATTTTATAATTTGGAGTTGGAGGGTGGTGGTTTTTGGCTTTTAGTGTAATGTTTTATATCTTTTTTCTATCTACAGACGTACACTCTGCATAATATCAAGACAGAAGATTGTAAGTACCGTTACGTTTGTCTTCACTTTGATTTGTGCGTCTTATTGTTGTGGCTTCAGATATTTACACCAACATCTGTAGTGTAATTGTTAGACTTTCTGGCTTGCGAGCCAAAAATTGTGAGTTTGATTATTTTATCAAGTATCTCAGTCTCTTTCTTACTTACTCACATACCCAAATGCACATCCATACACACATAAAACCTTATTTTCTCAGGCACATACACAAACTTGTAAACATAATAAAGACGCACATATAAACACAGCCCATGCACAGGAATACAAATATGCAGGTTTTCATTTGGTGTGTGCGTAAAGAAGTGTAACTCATTGGCGCGTTTGACATCTTTCCCAACCATTCACAGTCCTGTTTTGAATTCTCAAAGAACCATTCTTGTACTTTGTTTTTAGGGAGTTTTCAAAGCTCTGCACCCACTTGAGCTCTTAATAATCATATAGGTTGTGTATCCTGATTCTTTACTTTCCCCTGTGTTGTTTCTGACCATGTGTGGTTGCAGGTGCTCTGGTATGGTTTGCTCCTTCTTTCCTATCAAACATCTGTAGTTCTTGTCTTTCCTCCTCCTTTTTTGTGTTTATTACTCTCGTGTAACACCTCTAATCTTCGGCACTTTTCTTACCTTATTGTGTTGCAAATGCCGTAGAACTTTTATCAATACCTGAAACCTGTTTCCGTCCTTCTTGCTTTGTCCTGCTCGCAATGGCCGTTAATTGTGTTGATGCGTTTCTCTTTTATTTACTTAAAGGGACAAAAATTATCAGGCAAAACAGTACCACCCCCAATTTCAGTCAGTTGTAGCAGCCTGTGATGTTTACTAGTCTCATCTTTTTTTCTCTTCCTCAGCCATGTTGGATGACATTGGGTTCACCTTCATCAAGCGATCTGTGGCTGCCATTGAAGCCAGAGGTGGGTATACCACCACCTGGTAGTTCTCTCCACCATCCAGGGGCTCTTTAATATAATGATAATAATAAAAATAGAATTTGTATCATGCTTATCCTCACTCAACAGCAAGCTCTTTGCTTTTTATAATGTATATTATTACTCCAGTGGACCCCAGAACACTTGAAATCATTCTTGGCTTCACTTGAAGCATACAGTGCAAACAGCTGATTAAGCTCTGAAACACTAACAAACCAAACTAACAAGGTCTTTCACTATCTGAAAATTCATGTTAAGGACCCTTCCATATCCACAAACTCTCTCTCTCTCTCTCTCTCTCTCTCTCTCTTTCTATCTATCTATCTACCCATTGTGAATATTTGGAATGAAGTGTTGATGCTTTAAAGGATCGCTTTGTTTTAAGTAAAAAAGAAAAAAGAAACATTTTTGACATATGCATTCCATTATTTACGTCTTATACCCAGAACTAAATGGAAGTGTCTTCAAAGCCTTAATGTGGGTAGTTGGTGGGTGCTGTGGCATGGTTTGTTCCTTCTGTCTTATCAAACATCTAATGTCATCATTCTCCTTCTTTTCTTTGTATATATTGCTCTCTCATAACACCTTTTATCTTTAGCACTTATGTGACCTAATTGTTTTGCGAGTGCCTTTAAATCTCCTACTAAAACTAAAAGAAGGACTTAACACTATTGGGTTTTTTCCCGCGTACAGGACTGCAAGAACAAGGCCTCTACAGAGTGGTTGGGGTCAACTCTAAAGTCAACAATCTGCTCAAAGTCGCCTTAGGTATGTAGATTGTAAGATCATGCAGCAGCAAATACATACCACTAAGAACAAAGAAAGAAAGATACAAAAGAAACTTCTTTCCATTTAGTGTAAGGCTACTATTGGAATAAGCATCAATGTATTTTGTTGTTTCGAATATATACATGTATCTATATAACTCTAAAGGTCTGTAATAAATTCCTGCATAAGGTTGAAAGATGCATCAGATGTGATATGTACATTATTGTCAGCTTTTCTTTTCTCTTCATATTGAATTTTAAGGAGAGCAATATGTAATTTAATTTCTATTTTTATACCTGCTTTTTTTTATGGCTCCAGCCAAGAAAATTTTCCCTCAGAACAATTAAGTATTTTTGTATGTTTTTTATTTTCGTTGTCACCCCCCTCCCCCAAATTTAAAAAAAAATCGGGAACTCTTAATTTATTTCCTTACCCAGTAAATCGGGGTTGAACAGAGTTGTTTATTTTCTCTTGGGTCAGCAACAGTATGGTTCTGATAGGCTTACCAGACTGCAGGTGGTTGGAGGGCTTTATTAGCTGGTCCTACTTATTTTCTGGCCCTCTGTTTGTGGTCTTCTACTGAACAACAGCTAATGGAAGGAGTACACAATTAGAAAATTTTTTAAAAGTATAACGTTGCATGATTTGGTTGATGTTCCTCCTCCCCCCAGATCCCAAGAAATCTGAGAAAGTGAACTATGATGACCCCTCAGTGTGGGAGACCAAGACAGTCACCAGTGCTGTGAAAAGTTACCTCAGGTATGGTATGACAACGCTGCCACTGACTGCAGACATGGCTGTGTTTTGTTGTTATTTCTTGTAATTCTCAGTTAGCTTTCAGTGTTCCCTTTGTATAGTTTGGTTGGGGAAGTCAGTTGGAGGGTGCAACTTCTTTCCTTTCCATCTGTTGTTTCTAACATTAATGTAGATCATTTTTCTGTCTATATGCCATATTTTGTGCCTACACGAAATAACTGTTATTGCGTCAATGTGCATTTCTTTACACGAAAAAATCAACAAGCACAGTTTTTGTGATTGGGAATTCCGGTTTAAGTGAAATGTACCAAACCAGGCACAGATGCCCTTAGTAATCCCACATGAAATCAATCAAAATCAAGTTTTTTTTGTATAAGTATTCCCTTCATCATAGTATATACGCCAAAATATGTATGCCTATGGCCAACAGGCTCAGCTAAATGGCCACAAATTTTGAGACTTTGCTAGAGTCCTAAGAGGAGTTGCTTCCTTGGAGTAACAGTATTAGTGACTTTTTAAGCACAAGTGACTCATTGTCATTTAGCTATTTTTATTCATCTTTTTCCAGGAATCTTCCAGAACCTCTAATGACGTTCAAACTTCATGAGAATTTCATCAAAGCTGCAAGTAAGTTAACCTTGTAAGCCTTAGAAGGCTCTTTTGTTTGGTCACCGCCAAGTGAGGAATGGAAGTGGCATTATTGAATACGGATGTATTTGCCCTGCCAATTAAGGAAAACTTTCAGGGTTGAAATCTACTTCAGCCTTCTATTCAGAACTAACTTGACAGACTACTCACAGCCAGTCTCCACTCTCTGTGGGGCCAACATGGAGATAGCTGTGACATTCACGAAACATGTTTTTAACGTATTTTCAGAATAGGGGCAGAAGTAGACCTTTAAAGCTTTCGGCTCTATATGGTGAAGTTATTTGCTCTGTGTGATGCATAAATATTTCTTTTGAGACATGAGTATTAGTCTAATTGGCTGCCATAACATATGAGTTGATGTTTTCACACAAGAATTGGACCTTAATTAGAAAATTAAGTGTTGCTCACATTTTGCTATGTCATCATATCCATACATCTTGTTCTTTTTGTGTATGGCAACATTTTCATCAGGAATGAAAATGTAATGGTATTTGATTATTTTATGCTAATAAAATATTTTAAATATTTATAGTGTGGTAAACTTTTAAAATGTTTAAGAAGGGTATTGGGACTGAATGAGGGAAAGCTTTCCAACCCTCACACACCTGCAAACACACACACACACACACACACACACACACACACACACTGATATACCCACACACTCCCACAGACGCCTACACACAGAGTTTAATATACTGTAACCCCTACCCCGCCCGCCCCCCACAGAGCAAGACAGTAAAACACTGAGGATTTTGGATGTGCACAAGTACGTACATCAGCTACCAGAGTCCAACTTTGAGATGCTGGACATTTTGATTGGACATCTCAGGAGGTGAGTTAGACTTTCTAGTAATGATCTGGGAATGACTCGGCATTCATTGACCAAAGATAATATGGTACTATTAAACCTGCTCTAATGGTCACCTGTCCGAGACAATCGCCTGTACGAACGACCACTTCCCCCTTCCCTCTTTTCATTTATTCTGTTCTATAATGACACCTTCTCAGACTGTCCACCTGTCTAAGACAAACACTTTTCTCCCTGACAATGTTTGGTCATCTTGGACAATTTTGATTATTCAACAGGACATGATATGACTATAATTTCTGTGGAAGTAACTTAGATTCTTTGAGAGGGATGGCTTTTCTTGATTGTAATAATGATAGAACTCGTCTCTTTTTGTTGAAAGTTTGAGATGATAATGTCAGTTATGAAACTGATAAGATTATTAGTAAAAATGGGGTTTTGGCAAAAAAAAGTTCATTTTCTTTCTTTTTTAAAACCCATTTTGTGTTTCAATTCGCAAATCCCTCTACATCAAGCAGCCTGTTTCCCCAGAACTGTTTTTCTTGACATCAAAGTCTTGAAGCAGTTTTCTGAAGGCGACGGGTTCTGAAATTTTCACATTTAATTCAACTTCAAAAAGCGACAGTAAAGATGTTTGCATATCATATTGATCCTTGTGTTCTGTCGGTGGCAATAGGGTGGCGGATGTCAGTGAGCAGAACAAAATGACAGTTGCCAACCTTGGAGTGTGCTTCGGACCATCACTAATGAGGCCGGAGGAGGAATCGATGGCAGCCATCATGGACATCAAGTTCTACAACATTGTGGTCGAGATTCTCATCAATAATTATGATCAGGTGGGTGCATAGATCCTCATCAATAACTATGGTCAGGTTTTTGTATAGTTTAGAGCAGGTCTGTGTATAGTTCAGAGCTGGTTTCTTGAAAGGCATCACCGGTGGGTCCTACTTCTTATCTTTCCCTCTGGTGCATCTGTTTATAATTGTTTTTTTCCTACGCTAGATATCCATTGTTGTGTCGATGGTGTTCTCTTTGCCAAAAAAATAAAAAGAAACATACTGCTAAACCCATGGCTTTCATTCTTTCCTCAATGTCAATATTATTCTAACTTTATCGCAGGATTGTCACGGCTTATGCATAATCGTTGTGCAATGCAAGTGGTATGAAGGCGCCTCTTGTAGGTCCGGTCCTACTTCTTTTCTTTCTATTTGTTCTTTCTGTTTGTCATTTTTGCTTTCTCCTACCTCAGAATGGCTGTTATTGTGTCCCTGTGCTTCTCTTTAATCAAAGCAAATTTGTTCGGCAGATCTTTAAAACCCCTCCAGACGGAGCAGACCTGAGCGAGTCCAGAGTTCTTCCACGCAACAACCAAACCACACAGAGGAACACCCCTTCTCAGGGCTCGACGAACCACAGCGAACCTCAGAGCCGACCAGTCAGCTCGGCCGCTGCCCTTGGCAGGTCACCTAACCCATCAATGGCTCAAACTTCGAGAATCTATGCAAACCAGGCACCTGTACACCCGAATGCTGCGGCTGCAAGGGCTAAAATTAGACCAGTGCAGATCTACAATGCGAATACCGGAGGTTTGTAGTTAAATTATAAATTTTAACTCTTGTGTTTTTGCACCCCCATTGATACAGTTTAGTGATTTAGGCGGTTGGCTTGCTTGGACTCTCTTTACCTGTTGGGGTCAAACCAGGTTGAGAGGGACTCTGTGTGCCCCAGCAGAAAGACTGAGATACTCAAAACTAACGTATGTGAAGGGTTTTGTCACTAAATGGCTTACCTCCTGTATGTGAACTTCTGCATTCATTCCTTTGCACTGAAAGGTGTAGATTTCTTGTCTTTATTGCTTTCAAATGTTTGATCACAAGACATGATGTAACCAATGATTTTTCTTCTGGTTTGATTCCATTTTGTTTAACAGCGTACAACTCATATATTAAATTATCTGCTTGTGTTAGGTTTTTCACTTTCAGTACATAACACACTTTATCACAAAGTCCTTCCTATAGTGAATTGACTCTATAGTGAATACTGTGCTTCTCTTTAGTCAAGCTGATTTTGTCAAGTGTCTTTTTCTTTTCCAGCATTGAATAACCATATCTGTGCTAATGAGCTGCTCTTTACTCAAACCAACAAACTCTCACAGTCTCATACAAAGGCGGCATGTTTCTTTCCTCAGGATTTGAGGTACATAACAGTACTAGCAGTAGCACGGAATCCCTGAACTCTGCCAAAAGCAACCTATCACCGAGGGCGTTAGCTGGGGGCGTGTCTCCGTCGGCAGTGGACAAGCCCGGTGGGGTTCGACGGGGCTCGAACCAGAAAGACTCACAGCAGACGTACGCAAATGTCAATGCAATAGGTGAGGATCCTCTCAAACAATGGGATCTGGCACGTCTGTGCCCAGCTCGAGGTGAATGCTTTATCGAATACAGTGAAACCCTCTCATAACATGCCTGCTTTCAGCAGAACCTGAAATTAATGCAAGGCTCTGTCCCTTGATTCAAGGTAAACGTGGGAGCTATACGATGATTATGCAAGGGTTCCGTACTCACTGTTGGCAGTTATATAATTTTTATAAAAAAAACAACTTCCAAATAATCATTTTTGTTTCATTGCGAACAGCAGTGATATATTTGTGGAGTTTGGTAACACTGAAGTCAATTTTGTAGACTTTGAGCACTAAATTTGTTTTTACTAGAATGGAGGGAGATCTTGTTTTTTTCTCTCAATAAGGTAATATCAAGTCCAACGGTAGCGTTATGATAGGGTTTCACAGTAGAATTTAATATCTGAGGATTTTGCCCCCATTCTTTGGTGAGAACGGTGTCTCCTCATGCCAAATGTTTTGTTTTTTGTGGAAATTTGTTTGTTTTTGTTTCTCTCTCGATATTGTGTTTTTGTTGCTGTCTTTTGCTTTTAAGCAATAATCATATATTTCTTCTTTTTATTTGGACAACTTGCTCTGAAATTTTATAGGTAGTTAAGACTGAAGAGCAGTGATCAAGATGTCATTTTAGACTTTGAAGAGTAGTGATGAAGGACCTGGTGTCATTTTAGACCTTCAAAAGTAGTGATTAAGGTCTCGTTTTAGACTTTGGAGAGTAGTGATCAAGGAACCGTTTTCAACTTTGGAGAGGTTTTGAGAGATGTAGTCCAGCTGTCTTTTTAGACTTTTGAAAGCAATGATCAATGTATCATTTTAGACTTTTGAGAGTGGTGATCAAGGTTTCATTTTTTTTTTTTGGATCTCAGTGTAGTTTTAGCTATCTGAGGATAATGGTCTTTGTGACCACACCCCCATACAAGTGTTGTATGAAGGTAGATGTTCACTTATTTACTCAACACCTGATTTGCTTTTTTCAGAGTTGTACAATAATCACCTCAGTTGTGACACTGTGCTCCCACATAACTCAATAGTTGTTGTTTTTTGCCAGTTTTTGCTATTCACATTTGAGTTTCCTTTACCTGGTTTCCCCATGAAAAATTCTCTATAATGCCTAACTCTTGATTGTTTTTATTTTGCCAGTGTCTGCTATTCCGATTTGAGTTTACCTCTGTTTGGTTTACCCTGAAACAGGTCTCTTTAATATTTCTCTCTTGAATCTCAGTTTACTCATAAGACATGTCAAAAAGTTATATTTTCCGTGTTTCTACTATTCACATCTGATTTTTTTTTTCTCATTTGGTTGACCCAGGAAAATGTCTCTTTAATATTTCTTTCTTTCTTTACTCTCCGCTTAATGTTCAGATATTTGGAATAGACTCAATATGTGAGTGTGTGTTCTTTTACATAGACACGGCTGTGGAACTGGTAGAGATGGAGCATTCTCCGCGCCGGAGACGGTGTAAGAATTTTCGTTATGACACGAGAGTGCTGTGTGTAGGGTGTGTCTGGGTGTGTGGCTTGCCACTGAGCTGTGCGTGCTAGGCTGAACCACAAGTAGTAGTTATGTATGGGCTATATGGAACTATTTTTTTTTCATTATGCGGTATTTAAATGTATTTTCCTTTGAAACGATCTGTAAAAGTCAAAAGTGACTAATTGTTTTTAATTATTTTTTTCTATAAATATATTTGCCTGTGGGACTGTTTGTATAAGTTACGTGAAATTAATTATGTTTACTATATATTTTAAATAAATGTATTTGCCCACAGTCGAGTTTTTAACTTAAGCTTAACAAAACGATTTTGAAGGCTTAAAGAGTAGCCTTGTCTCACAAAAAAAGCCTTTACTAAAGTTTAGAATGATTCTTGATTTTTGAAATGTCATGGTCATTGGGACTATAAGGTCATAGGTAGTCTAATGAATGTGATGTGTTCAAATACCACATCGTTCAATCAGGGCAAATAAAACAGTTGAAAGTTCTAGGGCAAGGTTCTTGGGTATAAATGACCTTCTGAATGAAAGGTACAGCAAAAAAGTGCCTATTACAATCAGTCAGGTTGAGAAAACCGTTTGTTAATTTTGAGACCACCAAGGTTCTTTTACCTTTTTCTAGTAAGATGCACTGGGGTTTGGGGAAAAAAATATCTTTTGGGATGGCTATACTATACTGACACTTTGATCCCTGTCATGTGGTGTGTAGCTTGCTCAGAGGTTTTTCCTACAAAAGTAACAGTAACAGTTTGTGTCTTTGTTAGCCTGTGGCTTCCATCTCTTTGATAGGGATGTTGTGTATGGAGGTTCAGACTCCTTTCTTAATGGGTTGGCAGAGGAACTTGAACTATATACCACAGCAGTAGCTGTCTCCCAGACATTTTGCTCTTTTCAGTTTTTGTTGTAAGGAATACTGACTGCTCCAACATTTATAATTTTCTTTACCCTTTTATTTTGTAGCTCTGATCTTTGAAAAGGTTCTTTTAGTACGAAATTGTTTCTTCATAGTTTAGTGTTATTAATTTTTCTGTAAAAAGTACTTGAGTGTTGGTCATTATATCTCCCGACTGTTATTTTCCTATGAATTGGATTGATGATTCCGTAAGAGAGTAGTATGATTGCCACTGCCAAAAGTTGAGGCCTGTCAGGTTTTATTTCTGGTGTAGAGCTCTCACCTTCAAGAGGACTTGGTTTTGGTTGAAAGGATTTGAGATTTCTAAAAAATGTTCTGTACACTTTGTGTCGCAGTTAAGCCATGAGAATGTAGAATCTATCATATGTGTATATAAAATTCTTCTCTTTATCATTGGTATTTTGATGCTTCCCATTTTCGTAAAATTATTTTGATTTTTTAAATATCTTTGCTGTCCCTCATATTGTTAATGTGGCTAGAAAGATGAGCAAATATCTTCTGGGGGGGTCTGCATTTGGAACTTACTTGTTCTACTATACACATCCTGTGTCTCCTAGGGCAGGTGCCTCTATAAATAAATTATTGATAATGATGATCCTGTGGCTCCACTCTCTGTGAAGCCAACTTGGGGTTATCGTGACGATATGTGTGAAAGACACACCTTTAACTTATTTCAAAAAGGAATACCTCAAGTTCACCTTTACCGGAAAATGAGTAATCCCAGTGTTCTTGTACGACTTTGACAGGGTCACGCCAAGTTACTCGGCTCTCCTTGCAGCGACTTTGTGTTGTTCTTTGTTTCTCTTTCTCCTTTATCCTCATTGATAACAACTGTGTTGACCACTGCCTCTGTACTGTTACTGTTTTAGCGATGAATCGGCAGTTTACACTGTATGCTTTCCGGAAAGCCAAGAATGTCTCGGAGGGTTCTAGAGTCTGCTGGGGTAATAATATAAATTGTAAAGGACATAGAGCTTGCTGTTGATCGGGATACGCACTATACAAATATTATGTTGTATTATTGTAGCTGCAGAAATATTGAGCAATGATATCAACAGCTTTCACACAGTGCTCGATTAAGTGTGCATGTTTGTGGTCTTTACTCAAAGGACAAACATGACTATGAATTGTGTGTGTTTTTGTGATTTCCACTCAAAGAACAGAACTTGTGTGTGTTTTTGTGATTTCCACTCCAAGAACAGAACTTGTGTGTTTTTTGTGATTTCCACTCAAAAAACAGAACTTGTGTGTGTTTTTGTGATTTCCACTCCAAGAAAAGAACTTGTGTGTGATTTTGTGGTTTCTACTTGAAAAACAGAACTTGTGTGTGTTTTTGGGATTTTCACCCAAAGGATAAAACTTTTGTTCGTTTTTGTTATTTTCACCCAAAGAACAGAACTTGTGTGTGCATTTGTGTGCTTTCCACTTAAAAGAGCAAACCGTTTTGTTGAACTTTTGTCTAATTCTGTAATGAACTTTTTCATCTCTCTTTCATTATTTTCTGGTGTTTTTGGTGTTTCTTTATTTTCTTTGCTGTGGTTTTGATGTATTGTGAAAAAATGTCTGGTTTTCGGAAGATGTGGTTTGTCCGTGTTTTGTGCTGAGTCTATGTTCTGAGTATTCTTCTTGTTTTTTACACTCAGGTCATCTCAATAGTACTGTAAAATTCTCACTCAACATACACACTTGTTCACCAGTCTGCACTTTGATATATGTGGTCACCATTACATGATCACTTCACATGATCATCACTTCGTGGCTGCTATGTGTTTTACTTTAAACTTTCTATTTGGCTACCATAACTTTTTTTAAAATCCCTTTTCTCTCCTCTTCCACATGTTCATAAAAGAACGTAAGTTTGTTATTTTTTTTGGTATGAAAAGAGTTCACTTTCATCAGAATTTGCTAAAAGACCCACACTAGTTTTTACTTTCTGGTCCAGGGAGCTTTTCATTTCTCTAAGAAGCTTTTCATTTCTTTAAAGAGCATTTCACTTCTCATACTTGCTTCTGTTAGTTGCAGTATTTTTGCTTCTCTCTAAACTTCGTAGAAAATTTTAATGTGCAAAGATAATAATAAATTGTAATTTATTTGATGACTCACAGTTATCTGTATTCCCTTTGCGATCTGATTTGTGTTCTCTAGCAGTAATCATACTTGTTCAAGATGAAGGTTAAAGATTCAGAAAAAAAATGTAAATTCGCTCTTGAACAGCATCTGAAATGGAACTAAAATTTTATCTTTGTTTCTGATGTTCACTTAAGTGTTGAAAGACCTCAAATCTGGGATGGAACTGACATTTTTTTAAATGTTTTGTTTCTGGTATCCATTTAAGTGCTGGTCTCCCCCACCCATACAAAGTACACCATTCCTCTCAGTTTGTAAAAAGTGCACACACCGCTCTTCCTTGTCGAAATGTTGACTTGCGTTTGGCCCCGCCCCTCCCACCACCTCTGCTCCCTTCATGGAGGCGTTTGGAGCAAACTGAAAGGTGGTGAGTTCGTGTCTCCTCAACAGCGACACAAACCTCCTTGATGTGCTAGCCTGTCTGTCTATGACGGTCGATGTCATCTTGTATTGTGCACTTTTTTTCACGTCTTCTCGGCTGCAGCAGTTTTTGGTCTTGTGCGCCGCCCCCCACCCATTTCCATGCTCGCAAGGTTTTTTTAAATCCCTTGTTTCTTTTGCCCAAATAGTTTTCCTCTTTATTGTCAGCCTTTGGACATGTTTTATTCCTAGCAATATGAATGGTGTAGTCGTAATTAGTAAATCCTTTGAAGAAAGTCTCAGGAGAAATGATTGAGTTTAAAACAGAACATCAATGAATGTGTGAAAGTAACAAGAAATAGCTTTATGTTTGGGTATTTTATAGGTTTAGGGGGGGGGGGGGGTTCTTTCTTTATTTTTTAAAAAAATTTTTTACGTCTAAGGTCATAAAACTCAAAATGCATGAGTAACCAAGTGATTTCCTAACTCAGATTTTTCACCCTTCTTCCTTTCTCATTCCTTCCTTCATTGTTATACTTGTATTTACGTGGCTGTAGTTTCAGTCTATGTCAGAGTGGTGAGGAAGTACTTGTTTGTCTTCAAATTATGTACCTTGACCTGCTTTAAATGTTCAATTTGAATCTCTTTCTTTGTGTATGTGTGTGGGTGATTGGAGGCTGTCAGTGACTGATCCTACTTCTTTAGTATTGTCTTGAAATTTCTGAGTCAGGTGATGTTTGTGATTGTATGCTTCTCTTGAACTCAAACTCACATTTTGCGTGTGTGCGTGCAGGCGTGCTTGTGCGTGCTTGTTTGTATTTCCTAGTTTTTGTGAGTGTGTGTGTGAACCAGTGAGTGTGTTTGCATGTAATGGTATGTGTGTGTGTGTGTGCATGTTTGTGTCTACATGTGTATGTGTGTATGAGAGAAAGAGAGGGAAGATGTGAGCATGGATGTATTTACAGTTTGTTTATGTGTGTTGTAATACAATAAACACACAACCTCTCCACGTCTATACATCTCCCTGGTTCATGGTGTGCCCCCCATCTCCCACAGCCGGTGGTGTACGCAGCAATCATTTGGAAGTGTATTCCCGACACGCAGCATTCCAACCTCGTAGGTGACATCATCAGAGATTTGTTGAGATCAGTTGTTTCCCCCTCCCTCAAATTGACCCCGCATCTTCAGCATCGTGCAGGAAATGATGAATATGGCTTTACCCATATTTGACATTATAACTGGATTTTGGGAGTGGAACTTGTGGTACTAAACTTGTAAAAGAGATATACAATTTTTTTTCCTTCTGAATTCTGCATGGGAAGATAATTTATTATATCTCTATTTTATAATAACCTTTTTTTAGGTTTCTGTTATTGTGCATTTCAAATGTCAAAAAGATAATTGATCAGTTTATGAAAACAAAGACAAATGCTTATAAACAAATTTGTTACCTCAATGTCATTTCTCATATCCATGTTTGCTTTATAAAGAAGTGTCTGTGAAAGAAGGACGGGATTATTAACTGATTAATGTACTAAAAGATCCAACATTATTATGGTCTTAATCAAACAGGATCAAGCTTACGCATGCATCCGTTTAATAAAAGACACGCGAGCCTTAATTTTTGCTTCATATTGCTGATAAAGCTTTGCGCTTGCCTGGTCCAGAAATCAAGAGCTTATGCTCTTGTCAGTTTTAAGACTACCATCTCAAACTGTATCTTCTTTCGACAAATTTTGCTTTGAGTTGGAGAAACTGCTTTACACGTTGTGTTTGGCCAAAAAAACCAAGCAATTTACTGGAAGTGCAGCATTGTTTGACTCTTACCCTCTCGTGTTCTGGTCTCATTTGGGGGGGTTTTCCTTTGGGAAGGGAACATGATGATCAAACTGGTTGTTTGAGGGCGCCACTGGTAGGTCTTGATTCTTTTCTTTCTATTGTTTCTTTATGTCTATCTTGTTTTTCACAGCTCTAATGACCTTTATCATGTCATTGTGCTTCTCTTCCCCCTTTCTTTGATGACTCTGCCAGAGTTTAAGCCCTCTTGGGTTACAAGTTTTGCAGTCAAGCTCATTTTTGTTTTAATTTGAAGGACACTGCTGATATTCAATCCATTGGTGTATGGCTCAAGCCGCTGTGTAATAATGCATTGAAGTCGAGGGGGATTTTTTGTTTATACTGTTAGACTTATACTTATATGATAAAAGGTGTTCAATTTTTTAAAATTAAATCAAATGTCACTTCTTCTTTTTTCACTCGAAAGAAGTTAGTAATTTTATCAGTTAAAAACTGTTCAACAATTTTTATTTTTAATTTTTTTTAAATTTAAATGTTTGTTATATTTATAAGTATTGTCTAGTATGTTGACAAGTCACTTCCCTTGCCCATCCCAGTGTTCATATCAAGCTAATACGTTAATTACCCAGAGGTCACCCACACACACACACACATTCATACACACACACACAATGTTTTTTATTTGTAAGGAGAGTGATGGTCTCTGTGTCTTGTTTGCCTCCGAGTGTGAATGCATGTGCTGCTTGTGTCAGGGGGAATGAGTGAATGATGGCTTGTGGGTGCTGCAGTCTGGTTTGCTCTGTGGACAAAAGTTTTGGATCATCTGAGACGTTTGAATTACATTCCTAGTATGTTTTGACATTTTTGTCTGGGTTTTTTTCCTCTTCATCTGGTTTCCCATTCATGAGAGGTTGCAAATTACATTTCTCCTTTTTTATTTATTTTATTTTATTTTTTGTGTTGAGGTAATAATATAATTCTATGGTAAAGAGAACACAATTTTGTAAGTTGACCGAGACCGTATTCAGTACCAGTCTCTTGATAAATAATTTATAGCTGCAAGATATTTGAAAGATGAATGTGATATCTGCCTTTAGCTAGTCTGAATGTTGGCTAGTAGACAGTGCATGCAAATTAGCTACTGCAGTTTGCGTCGTTCCTGCTGACGATTATTAATCCCTAACCTTACCAGAGTTGTAGCAGTCTTCTGTGTCCTTGTGCACCATGTACAGTCAGAAATTCTTCAAGATTGCTAAAAAAAAAATAATAATGAATTACTAAGAGTTAAAAATTCATTAATGGTACTAATGAAATGATCAAGATAATTCATAGTTGGAATTAATTTATTTTGAGAGGTTAATTTGTAAATGGAGTGAAGGATTTTTTTAAATTTATGAATGGAACGAATGAATTGTTACAGATAAATTCACGGATATAATGAACAATTTGTCAGAGATAGATCAGAAATGAAACTTTAATTGTAAGAGATAGTGGAATATGCAAAAACCCAGAAAACTTCAGGAAAATGTTGTAAAAGGAGAAGGAAACAGCAATTGAGGGTCTCGCGCTAAGGCTTAAAAAAAAAAACCTAAAAAAAACAAATTAGTATTAGTTCTCCTTGCTCAGTAGTTTATACTGCCCTATTTCATCTGTTCCATTGTCAACAAAGAAGTTTCTCCATTTGTTTGACAAAAATGGCATCCACCCCCTCCCCCTGACCCCCCTCCATGTCACGAACATGGTCATGATTATATGTATCATCTCTACCACTGTCATCTTCATCGTCGTCACTATCATCACCATCGTCAGTTTCAGTTTACTTTATACTTTGTATTTGCTTCAGCTTTTATGCATGTGAAGTGGCAGGATAAGTTGTTTGAGAATATTTATAAGCTGTTTTGTTCATCTGGTCATGGCAGTTAGTTTCTTTTCTTGAGCTGTTTAGATATTTCAATTTTATCATGCTTGATGGCTTTTTCTACATTTTTATTTCTATATGGTTTAGGGTTTTTTTCTTTATTATGATCAATACCTTGAGTTTTTGGACTTTGGGCAAGGAAGTATGGATTTCAAGAGAAGCTGATTGCAACGCTATTGTTATTTGGATTTTTTATTTATTAATTTATTTTTTTATTTTTTAAATATTTTTTTTGGTCAACTGGTAAGAAGAAGAAATGGCCGTTAGTCTTATGGAAGAGTCTAAATGCCCTGTGACTCTTTGTATTATTGGTTTATTTTCTTGACATGTTTTGGGCTGTAATGTCAGCTTCTGTAAAACAAAGAAACTGCATAAATGTTAATATTGTCTTCTCTGTTATGTGAACATGTTAGCAGCTACACAATTGTACATGTATACACTAAAACTCATTTGCATATATAAACACACATCCAACTCTCAACACACTCTTGTTTTGTCTCCTTTCTTTCTCCCCCC